GATCTTTAAAAAAGCATCATATGACCCCTTTAAAGCATTTTAACTTTAAACCGTTACTCTCAGCTAAAATACGAGTCTTTAATAACGCTTCCTCCAGTGAAAAAGTGGTCTGGTCTGAATCAGGAGAGAAATGTGAGCACATTTTCAGCAAATTTTCAGTTTTGGCTGAACTATTCGTTTAAGTATTATTCAGTGTTTACCTGCATGGCTGCCATCGGCTGATCCAGAGAACTGAACGCTGATATGGCCGACATCAGAACCTCATCGCTGACCAACACGTTCCCCTGGACCAGCGTGTGTGTGAGCGGCGACTGCGGCACGGTGATGTACGTTGACACCTTGAGGATTATATAAACATAAAAACAATATAAATATGTGACCCTGGACCACAAAACCAGTCATAAGGGTAAATTTTTTAGAAATTGAGATTTATACATCATCTGAAAGCTGAATAAATAAGCTTTTCATTGATGTATGGTTTGTTAGGATAGGAGGGCAATATTTGGTCGAGATTCAACAATTAAGTTTTGATATATTTACGGTAGGAAATTTACAAAATATCTTCATGGAACATGATCTTTACTTAATATCCTAATGATTTTTGGCATGAAAGAAAAATCAATAAGTTTGACCCATACAATGTATTGTTGGCTATTGCTACAAATATACCCCAGTGACTTAAGACTGCTTTTGTGCTCCAGGGTCACATATCAGTAATATGGCGTCTCGTGGTGTTTTCCAGCAGGTGTGCTGTACCTGTCTGTTAGCGGCGCTGATGCACGGGACGGAGGTGTAGGGGTTGTTGGAGGCCAGAGAGACGGTGGCCAGTGACGGCGTGTTGGACTGACACTGTTCACGCTTGTGACTCATGAACGCCGGCAAAGAGTTGAACTGCTTCTTACATTTCCCACACAGAAAGACATCGTCATCGTCTGCGGATATAATGTGACGTGAAAGTGTTAAAACAAATAATTGAATGAAGAAGCATTTACAAATGCATCATTACTAGGTAAATACAAATCAGTGTTGTTATTGTTAAGTACAACTATTATTAATCATTTTAGGTAATTGAAAATGAAATTTTAGGTAAATGAAATAAAGCTGAAATAAAATACAGATATTAGATGAAAAACTTAAACTTAAAATACTTGTGGTAAACTTACTAAAACAAAAATACAAAAAAAAATTTATAGTTATAAAAACTATTAAAAATGACAAAATCCCATACCAAATTAAAAATAAAATCAAAGCTGAAAATATAAAAAAAACGTATTTTTAATTACTATGTGTACAGTATATACAATTTAGTGTTGTTATCTTTATATAAATATTACATGAAAAACTTTTAAAATATGAAAATTTGAAATAACTGAAATAAGCTGAAGTGCTAAAATTACTTAAACTAAAACAAAAATAAATTACAGCAAGAAAAAAACACACTAATAAAATGGCAAAAGCACATAACAAAATTACTAAGACTTAAACCAAAATGAAAACTGAAAATATAGAAATACTTGTTAACAAAAAATAAAACTATTAATAATAATTTTAGGTCATTGAAATAAAGCTGAAATAAAATAAAATATAAATATTGGATGGAAAGCTTAGAATTAGAATTGTTGCCTTCACAACTAACTTAAAATAAATTAAAGCTGAAATACTAAAATGGCTAAAACTGAAATAAAAGTAAATTAAATATAAATATTAAAAACCAAAAACTAATAAACATGACAAAAGCACATGACAAAATCATTCAAACTTAAACTGAAATTAAAATTAAAAGTGAAAATGTAAAATAAAAGTTAACTCAAAATATGAACCAATATTATAATAGCATATAAATAATACTAATATTAATAAATGCACTTTACTTTTAACAGACATATTCCCCCTGTTTCACAGACAAGGCTTAAGCCTAGTCCCAGACTAAAGTGTAATTCTGAGCTGTTTTAACTGAAAGAAACTTGCACTGACTGATCTTAAAATATATCAGTGCCTCTGTTTTGTCTCAAGATGCACACCAGTAATGATTTTTCTAAGGCACGTTAATAAAAATTACTTAAATGTCCTAATTGAACTATTGCCTAGTCCTTGGCTTAGTCAAGCCCTGTCTGTGAAACTGGGCCTGACATATTCCCCCTGTTTCACAGACAAGGCTTAAGCCTAGTCCCAGACTAAAGTGTAATTCTGAGCTGTTTTAACTGAAAGAAACTTGCACTGACTGATCTTAAAATATATCAGTGCCTCTGTTTTGTCTCAAGATGCACACCAGTAATGATTTTTCTAAGGCACGTTAATAAAAATGACTTAAATGTCCTAATTGAACTATTGCCTAGTCCTTGGCTTAGTCTAAGCCCCGTCTGTGAAACCAGGCCATTATGTATTATGTTAAACTGGAATATTTAATCATATAAATGCGTGAATAAGTCTCACCCATTGGCTGGATGGTTGTTCCTGAGACATTCTGTGTTCCTGGATCCAAAACACCACCCTGAGCGTCCAACAGTGACTGGACACTGAGCACCGTCTGATTGTCCATGCCTTCAACGGGACAAATGTGGCTTAACCAATCAATTAATCCATCAGTTATTCAACAAACCAACCAATCGCTATCTGACAATTACACCAGCTCACAATCCATTACAGTACTCTTAATTGAGCGTATATATACAGTAGTATTAATAATCATTATTACTCATATAATACAGTAGTCAACATTTGAAGTGGATCAAAAAAAGTTCATCAAAGTTGTCCTAAGACAAGAACGAGTATTGTTTTGGTTTTAGGACAACTTTGATGAAAGGTTTTGATCCACTTCAAATGTTGACTACTGTATATGCAAATATTATATATATATATTAGTGCTGTCAAACGATTAATCGCGATTAATCGCATTCAAAATAAAAGTTTTTTTTAACATGTGTGTGTACTGTGTATATTTATTATGTATATATAAATACACACACACACATGTATATATTTGAGAAAAATATGTTATGTTTATACATTTAAAATATTTATATATAATATCAATTATATTAATATAAATATATACATGGAAATATTTTCAAAATATATACTGAATGTGTGTGTGTTTATATATACATAATAAATATACACAGTATACACACATATATTATGTAAACAAAAACTTTTATTTTGGATGCGATTAATCGCGATTAATCGTTGCCCAGCACTAAATATATGCCTATATACTTTTTTTTTTTTTTTGTATAATAACACTAAACTGTGTATCAAGCACTGGTTACCTACTAGTTAGTTGTCTCTAGTCCTTTCTTTGCACATATTATATATAATTATTAAAATTATTATTGAATTATAATTATTTAAACTCAAAACAATGTTCCAAACCCATATAATTATGTATTTAAGAACATATGTACGACTGTCTAATGAACACGATTTCCTTATTCATGCACCATGATATTAATGTTTATATATGTTTATATGACCATTTCTTTCGATCATACTACCAAGCGCTGTTACTTTGGGGAAGGAGAACATCTGTAACACAAAAACAGTCAAATCTGGACACAAATATAGCAACTTATACCAAATAACTGCTATTTTATTTACACTGAACATTAGCTTGTTAGTGTATTATAGCACAATAAAAACATTTATTAGATGTAATGCTGTTTTGTGGCTTTTCCAGTGATGTGTCTCTCTCCCTCCGCCATGATCCGCAGCACGAGGCTGTTATTCCAATCGCTCTTCCTCCCTCCTCTACATCAATCTCTTCTCAGGTACATTCAAGCGAATGAATCAAATTGCCTGCAATCCTGCGCTAATATATATATTTTTTTTTTATATATTATTTTACTATTCTGACACACTGACATTTACACGAACCGAAACAACTGTGTAAAATGTGTTTCTTTGGCCTTTTCGTCTCGAGCGCGCATGCATTCTCACTGTAAACATAAAATAATATATTACAGCTTGTACATATGCTGGAGGATTTTGAATAAAGTGCATTAATACCTTCCAGAACCTCAAATATTGCCTGCGCCATCTTGTAGCTCCTCTGTGCATAACGCCAGCGGTGGGCGGAGTTTAATACAATCATTTACAATGAACAGAAAGTTTGCATGTTATTGTTTATTTATTTAGCCAGTGATTTTCATGACATCGGCATCTCATATATGGTTTTATATATGTATTCAAATCCGTGTGCTAATTTGTAATTTTTTTTAATATAGGACTATTTTATATTTTGCATTGTTTTGAAACAAAGCTTACCCTGTGACTGTCACTTTTTGCAATTTTGCATTTGCTGTAAAATTAAAGCTTTAATAAACGTTTAATTAAATGAAATAAAATACATAATAGATTAATATTAACTTAATTAGTCTACAGCAACTTTCTAAGTTGCGTTATAACAAAAGGATTTAATATTTGTGTTAAATCTATCTTAGAGAAATTCAGTAATTTGTGCATAATGTCATGATAGCGATGATTTTTTTTGTATTTTATATGAAAGTATTTATTTATTTATTTAGTCATTTATCAGACGCTTTTATCCAAAGCGACTTACAAATGAGGACAACAGAAGCAATCAATTGTAGTATTAAAACAACTAAAAACAGATCCAAAACTAAAAGCTAAAACTTTATAAATACGACTTATACACATTTTAAAAATAAATAAATAAAATAAAAATGACAAATGCATACAACAAAATTTCAAAATTTAACATTTAAATGAAAAACAAAAGATAAAGATAAAAACAATTCTAAATATTAAAGAACAAAAGGTATAAGAGTATAATAATGATTGAATGAAATGTAGTTTTCCATTCAAACAACTCTTATCTTTATTTAAAAAACGCAAAAAGAAAGAATACGGGACGTCTTTGAGTGACAGCCGCGACAGCCAACCAGCGGCCTGGGAACTCTGACGCGTAGGGCGAAGGGCGCAACTTATCAGCCAATCAGCACACGGCACGCTGGCACGTGCCAGTTTCGCGGCAAAAAAGATTTGGCGCGTAAACCTTTGAGCAGGTTCCGATCAGCTGGAACAAAAAAACACAACAATAACAGAAGCGATTCCGGCCGCGTCGCGCGCGGGGACAGTTGGGCCGCACCTTTCTTCGGTTTCAATGGATTTAAGCGTTAAATGAGCGAGAATTTGGATGTTATTTGGAGTTAATGACAATACTTCCTGGATGGAGTCATCAAAAAGGACAAAAGCGGGGGATATTTTGGATTAAAGTGTCAGATGAGAACAGAAACCGGACTTGGGCTTTGTTCCGCATCCTGATCGGTTTATATCGTTATATTTACTTTCTCTACAGCCTGTTTACCGATATAATAACACGCTTCAAACACGTTTACAAGTGCTCAAGTAAAAACAAACTCTGTTCGTTACAAAATATCGCAACGTCGTCAATAATTTGAGGATTGCATGGTATCATTTCATGTTTTATGCACTTTAAAGGTTGAGATTGCATTGCTATTTGTATATGATGATGTTTATTTATGATGAACTGTATGTGTTATGCTTTTCAGCCATTTGCAAAAGCACTTCCTTAAAGCAACCACAACTCTAAACTCATAATGCATGTGAAATATGTCTTAAACATGCTTATAAATAACATGCATGGTCTTTTAAATAACTTTTATTGATCTAAAGTTGATTTTTGTTTTGCAAACTGAAGTTGACCTGCATCCTGCCCTTGTTGTGGTTTGGGAGTCTCACCCATATGTTCAGTCAAGGCCTGTTTTTAACATGGCTTATCCAACTGTACTCTCTCTCATGCATGCATTTTGAAAAACAACCTGTTTCCATGCATTGAAAGCCATAAGGATTGCAAGTAAACCCAGAGACTAAGTGACCCCTGCTGTTTTAGCCCGATATGTCTGAGAGTTTTATATCGGGTCAGACCTCGGAGGACCTGCTGGCGGATTTTGAGTCTCTCTTGAACAATGGCAGCATCGATCTCAGTGAAGATCATCAAATTGTCATCATCTCCACTCCTGGCACGGCCTCGGCCAGCACTGCATCCGGCGACATCTTGCTGTTTGCCACCCCTCATCACACCACCACTGCCACCACAACCCTGCCGGACCACCAGAGACCCACTTTGGGACGCCCGCCGGTATGCCTTCAGCCTGTCCGGACACATATGCATGCGTTTAATTCCATGCATGTGACCTTTAACCTTTGGGATTTCAATTTTTAGTCTTCCTTTTTGGAATTTTCTCTATTTGAAATTCCATTCCACAATGTAGCTTAATGGTTCTTATTGGATCTGGGCTTGTAACCCACATCCTGTAGGTTCAGAATCCATAAGGAGTGGTTTGTGATCACCATTGTACTTGAGTAACTTATGCTGAAGGTCACAACTCAAGTTTCCTCAATTACCGCTAGATTATCAGCATGCAATTAGATGTTTGTTAAAGCAGCATTATTGTTTTATGACGCATGCATTCTTTTAATTACGCTGCAATTAAAGGTTTTGTTTTTATTTAAGTTTTTGTTTTATGATGCATACATTGGTGTATAAATCAGGCCGGATGTTAATAGCTCTAAAAGGTCATAACATCTGGTTTCCTTCTGCTTTTTGATTTCAGGTGAAGAGAAAGTTGGATTTGGACAGTGATCATCAGTACATCTGCACGTCCCGACCTGCTTCACATGGACCAGCACCTCCAGCCACACCCGCGCCTCCCAGAGGTATGAATGTGTCTTAAAATAGTCAAGAAAAACAATGGAAATATCAATCAATGGTGAATAATAATAGTGTTCAAAAGTTAGGTGTTGGTAAGATTTTTTTTTTTTTTTTAAAGAAGCCTCTAATGCTCACCTAGGTTGCTTTTTTAAAATCAAAAATACTGTAAAATTGTGAAATATTTTTGGAATTTAAAATAACTGTTTTCTGTGTGAATATATTGTAAAATGTAATTTATTTCTGTGATCAAAGCTGAATTTTCAGCATCATTACTCCAGTCTTCAGTGTCACATGATCTTCAGAAATCATTCTAATATGCTGATTTGCTGCTCAAGAAACATTATCATCATCAATGTTAGATATCAGTATTTTCATGATTCTTTGATAAATAGAAAGTTCAAAAGAACAGCATTTATTTGAAATTGAAAGCTTCTGTAACATAAATGCCTTTAGTGTTGCTTTGATCAATTTAAAGGGTTAGTTCACCCAAAAATGAAAATTAGCCCGTGTTTTACTCACCCTCAAAGCATCCTAGGTGTTTATGACTTTCTTCTTTCAGACGAATCCAATCGGAGTTATATTAAATATGTCCTTGCTCTTCCAACCGTTAGATTGGATTCGTCTGAAAGAAGAAAGTCATAAACACCTAGGATGCTTTGAGGGTGAGTAAAACACAAGCCAATTTTCATTTTTGGGTGAACTAACCCTTTAATGCATCCTTGCTGAATTAAAGTATTCATTAATTTCACTCCTGCATTGCAGTATAAAACCATTTTCCATAGGGCTGCACTATTAATCGAATTTCTAATCGCGATTACAATTATGGATGCCACAATTATGTAATCGTTCAAAGCGGCAATTAATCGTTCAAAGTCCACTTATGTTATTCTGCACGCTTAAGATGCGTTTTTTTTCTTTCTACATGTTATCTTAAGGGTTTTTCCCGACAATTATGATTTTTGTCATAATCGTGCAGGCCTCATGAAATCCGCTCTTGTTTCAGTGCCTAAAGTGGCTACGGAGAAGTCCCGCTACGACACGTCTCTGAATCTGACCACCAAACGCTTCCTGGATCTCCTGGCTCAGTCTCCAGACGGCGTGGTCGACCTCAACTGGGCCTCTCAGGTGCTGGACGTCCAGAAACGGCGCATCTACGACATCACCAACGTCCTGGAGGGGATCCACCTGATCTCTAAGAAGTCCAAGAACAACATCCAGTGGCTGTGCGTTCATCAAATGCATCAATGATTTGTTCAGGAATGACTGGGAGTGTGTAGTTGTTTATCTGCGGTGTGTCACGTTTCTTGTGTTCAGGGGGAACCGTATCGACGGGGCATCCATGGCCAGGTTCCAGGCGCTGCAGAGGGAGGTTTCTGAGCTGACAGAGGCCGAGGAGAAACTCGACGAGCTCATTAACAAATGCAGCTTACAGCTACGGCTCCTCACAGAGGACACGCACAACAAGAAATATCCTTCATCTCAGTGTGTGTGTGAGGAGAGTGATCTTCTCAATGTCTATAGCTCTTTATTTTAGACTAAAATGAGATATAAATGTAGCAGTTTAAAAATATAAAAATTTTTTCCTAAATATTTATTTATCTGTGTTTACATGTAGGTAGAGAAGTGCAGGATCTTCTCAAAATGTAATGTGCTTTAGCTCTTTTTTTTATTATTTTATTTTAAGGATTTTTTCAAACAAACAACATCGTCTCAAACTTCACATGCACTCACAAAGAAAATAAATAAAAATAAATAAATAAAAATATTAGTGCTGTCAAACGATTAATCGCATCCAAAATAAAAGTTTTTGTTTACGTAATATAGGTATGTATGCTGTGTATATTTATTATGTATATATAAACACACACACATGCATGTATATATTTCAGAAAAATGTTGTTTATATACTAAATATATTTATTTATAATATAAATTTTATGAATATAAACGTAAATATTTTCAAAATATACTGTATGTGTGTGCGTGCATTTATATGTACATAATAAATATACACAGAACATACACATGCAAACAAAAACTTATTTTGGATGTGATTAATCATTTGACAGGACTAAAAAATATACATAAAAATGAAAATAAAGATAATGAAAATAAAAATAATAAAAATACACGTATGTGCAATAAATTAGACTTAAATTATAATGCTTACTATAATAAATACAGGTTCAGTAATGTCCTTAAGCTCTTACGTATTAGACTAAAATAAAAAGTTATGCTTAATTAAGATTTAACTCTAATATGTAAATATTTAATATATTTTCCTAAATGCTTTATGCTTTGTGTATATAGAGGAGAGCATGATCTTCTCAAAATGTCCTTTAGCTCTTTATTTTAGACTAAAATTATAGTTAAGATTTAAATGTATCAGTAAATAAAATGTTAAATATTTTTCCCTAAATACTTGATGCATATAGATTTATTTTTCTCATTGTGTACATTTAAATAGAGGATTAAATTAGAAGATTTAGCTCTTTATTTTAGTCTTTCTTCATGGTTTGGGTGTAGATATGAGTGGTTTGAAGCTGAACTTAGGTCTGGTAACAGAAAATGATGATCCTGGCAGCTCAAGTAGATTAACATGATCATTTGTGGATATTATGATCTTTAACGGAAAGTCACGCTGGGATACGTTAGATGTCAGGACCTGCGTAACACAGTGAACCCGCCGGATCAGATCATCATGGTGATTCGAGCTCCGCCGGAGACGCAGATGCAGGTGTCTGAACCCACTGAGGTGAGAAAACACACACTTATTTATTCTTATTTATCTGTATTTTTATTAGGGCTGTCAGTTTAACGCGTTAATTAATTAGTTATGAAAAATAACGCGATTAAAATATTTTAATATTTTAGAGGTCTGCTACCCGACCCAAGCCCGACGGGTTTCGGGTCGGGTTCGGGTTAATGTTTAATGAATAGCTTCGGGTTCGGGTCGGGCTCGGGTTTATATCTAAACTAAAACTATATGCAGTAGGCTACGCTGCTTTCATAGATGCACGCACACACATTATTGCACACGACAACACAGCACGGAAACTTTTATTAGTAAAATAGCTTCGACAGGC